GGATGTGTTCAGCTTTTTATTTCTGTTAGCTTTCCCCTTAACAAAATTTAACAGTTTTCAGCAATCATCTCTTCAGATATTTTTTCAGCTGTGCTTGCTTTTTCGCCATCTTTCAGGACTCCTAATGTACATTATTTTTTTCTGTCCCATAGCTTGCTGAGGCTCTGAGTTTTTGAAATCTATTTTCTTCTGAAAAATTTTGTTTTTGAATTATTCATGAGACAGAGAACTTGCATGCATTCCCACATCTACTGATTCACTTCCCGCATTCCCAGCTTCTGAAGATGGGAGCTGGGAAATCAATCCAGGTCTCCCACGTGGAGATATTTGGGCCATCAGCTGTTGCCTCTCAAAGTGCACATTAGCAGGTAGCTGGAATCAGGATCAGACCTGGGAGTTGAATCCAGGTACTCTGATAATAGTATGCAGGCATCCCAACCATTATTTTAACCGCTAGGCCAAATACCCACCCCTAAAATCTGTTTTCTTTGTGTTACTCTAATTAGGCGGTTTTTAACTGTCTTCATTTGAGTTCACTGAGCTTTACTTTATTCGAGTTCGCTGAACTTTACTTCTGTAATTGCTATTCTGTTGAACCAGTATAGTTCAGAATTTCATTTGTCGTTCTAAACTTTTCAGGTTTTTTTTTTTTTTTTTTAAAGATTTATTTGACAGTCAGAATTACAGAGAGAAGGAGAGGCAGACAGAGAGAGAAAAGTCTTCCATCCATTGGTTCACTCTTCAATTGGCCACAATGGCCGGAGCTGCGCCAATCCAAAGCCAGGAGCCAGGACCTTCTTCCAGGTCTCCCACACAGGTAGAGGGCCCAAGGACTTGGGCTATCTTCTGCGGCTTTCCCAGGCCATAGTAGATAGCTGGATCGGAAGTGGAGCAGCCGGGACTCGAACTGGTGCCCATATGGGATGCCGGCACAGCAGGGGGCGCGACTTTACCTACTATGCCACAGCACCGGCCCCAACTTTTCGATTTTTTTTTTTTTACATCTTTTACTTCTTAGCTGAAATTTCCCATTCCAGTTGTTTGTTGGAACTCTGGTTTTTGAGTCACATTAAAATCTTTTTCAGATAATTCTGACTTAATCATTTCGGTGTTGGTATCTGTTGTCTTTTTTCTTTAGAGTTGATATTTTCTTAGTTATTTGTAGGAGTAATATTGGATTGTATCATGGACATTTTGAGACTCTTGGAAAACTCTTGGTTTCTGTTTGGAGTCTTTGTTTTGAATGGTCAGCCTGTTTGGTTCAGAACACATGGCCTGATGTGTGTGGTCTTTGGTCCTAGTTTAGGTTTCAAAACCTCTCCAGTGGTATTCTTGTGTCCTGCTTGTTTGTCATCCCCAGGCCAATCTGAAACAGAGGCACACTCCACACTGTAGCTAGGTATTTGTTGTTTTTATTCTGTTTACTTTTGTGAATGAAATACTAAAGGTTGTGACTGGGAATATTACACAGACTAATCATCTCCCTTTGTCTTGTTGGAGAAAGTGATAGATTACCTGTTTGCTAACATTTTTTTATTGTATACAGATGATCAATAGTTCTGTAATACAGCTTTTGCACCAGTGAGAAACAGGGAGGCTACCGTGTCTGAGCTGAGTGCTATGTGCAGTGTTAGGGTGGTCAGCAGAGTCCATCTGCAGTTTCCTTGGCCACAGTACTGATATGAAGAGGCATGTGTGCTACTTGTGTTGTTTCTGTACAACTTAGTGAAAGATGAGGTGGTTGGCAGACTTTTACTTTACAGTCATTGTGGCATCGGTCAAGGAGGTAGAGGGACATTACTTTTGTGATGTTCAAGTGGAGTAAAGAAAAAAGGTAGATTAAACAGGTGCCATCTATAGTGCTGCTCTCCTCACAGTCCTATGACTTGAGAGAACAGACTTTTCTGGGAGTTTTTATTTGTTAGTTCTTACTGATGCTTTTCCAGTTGTGAGCCTCTCTACTGCCCACTGTGATATATGAGAGACTATCAAAATCAATCAAACAGAAAAACCTCAGGGAACTTATCACTAGGTTATATGAGTCCCAAGGTCTCTAACTAGTCTTCTTTTTTTAACGTTTTGGAATCTTCTGCTAGTTGCTTTATGAATTTTTAAAAATTTTATTTAAGGTATACAAATTTCATATATTTAATGTATACAGATTCAGGAACATAGTGATACTTCCCACACTACCCTACTGCCTGCCTGCCTGTGCTCCCACCTTTCCATCTACTTCCTCTCATATTCCCTCTCAATTTTTATAATGATCTACTTTGTTTGCTTTGTACTCATAAGATTAACCCTACAGTAAGTAAAGAGTTCAACAGTATGAAGAAAAAAAAACATAGAGACAAGGGCTATCAGCAATCATCACAGCTCAAAATGTCAACAAATTTTTTTTTTAAGATTTAATTTTTATTTATTTGATAGGCAGAGTTAGGAGGAGAGACAGAGAGACAGAGATCTTCCTTCCGCTGATTCACTCTCCAAGTGGCCACAACAACTGAAATTGGGTGGATCTAAAGCTGGGAGCCAAGAGCTTCCTCTGGGTCTCCCACATGGGTGCAGGGGTCCAAGCACTTGGACCATCTTTTGCTGCTTTCCCAGGCACATTAGCAATGAGCTTAATCTGAAATGCAGTGGCCTGGGTATTGAACTGGTACACATCCGTGATGCAGGTGTCATAGGTGGAAGCTTAACCTGCTATGCCACAAGACCATCCCCTGCTTTATGAATTTTATCTAAGAGTTTTAGGTTATAGTTAGTGGGAGAAACAGGGTAGAATAATCATAGTCTATCTTGTCTGAGATGGGAGATCCTGTCCATTGTAATTAAAGACCTAATACTGTATAACTTTAGCATCTGCATTTAAGATAACAATGTAGTTAGTGTATATGGCCTGTTGATATGGGGTTTATAAAGTAAATAGTATTACATGTGATGATTACTGTTTAGTCTTTATGTAAAGACTAGATCTTTAAAAAAGATTTATTTATTATTTATTTGAAAGGCAGAGTTAGAGGCAGAGAGAGAGAGAGAGAGGTCTTTCATCCTGCTGGTTCACTCCCCAAATGACCACAAAGGTCTGAGCAGGCCGATCCGCAGCCATGAGCCTGGAGCTTCTTCGAGGTCTCCCACGTGGGTGCAGGGGCCCAAGGACTTGGACCATCTTCTACTGCTTTCCCAGGCCATGGTCGAGAGCTGGATCAGAAGTGGAGCAGCTGGGTCTCCAACAGCAGGCAGTGGGTTTAACTGCTGTGCCAGCCCCCAAACTTTATTTTTATTGAAAGTGAAAATTTTACAGTTAATAGCCAAGCCTGGTTAAGTTTTTCAAGTAAAGCATAATGATAATGTCGAGGTACAAAGTTTTATTCTTTGAATAGTTATATTCTTATGAACTGTAACTGAAATATATATTGGTAAATCTCATTAGGTGTGAGAGTGTCAGGATGAGCACGTGGGTCATTCAGTTCAGATTTATCACTGCTGCTGTAAAACCATCAAAACACCTCATGTATGGGGCAGGCGCCATGGTGCAGCAGGTTAGTGCCCTGCTCTGCAGTGCCGGCATCCCATATGGGTGCCGGTTTCAGACCCGGCTGCTCCATTTCCAATCCAGCTTTCTGCTGTGGCCTGGGAAAGCAGTGGAAGGTGACCTAGGTCCTTGGGCCCCTGCTCGCACGTGGGAGACCCAGAGGAGGCTCCTGGCTCCTGGCTTCGGATCAGAAGACCTCTCTCTCTTTGCCTCTCCTTCTCTCTCTGTAACTCTGACTTTCAAATAAATAAATAAATCTTACTCCCCCCCCCCTTTTTATTTGACAGGCAGAGTGGACAGTGAGAGAGAGAGAGACAGAGAGAAAGGTCTTCCTTTGCTGTTGGTTCACCCTCAAATGGCTGCCACGGCTGGCGCGCTGCGGCCGGCGCACCGCGCTGATCCGATGGCAGGAGTCAGGTGCTTCTCCTGGTCTCCCATGGGGTGCAGGGCCCAAGGACTTGGGCCATCCTCCACTGCACTCCCTGGCCACAGCAGAGAGCTGGCCTGGAAGAGGGGCAACTGGGAAAGGATCCATTGCCCCAACCGGGACTAGAACCCGGTGTGCCGGCGCCACTAGGTGGAGGATTAGCCTACTGTAAATAAATCTTTTAAAGCACAATAATAAAAAAAAAGAACCTTGTACCATTGATATGTCTCGAACTTTTTTAGTCCCAAGAATAGAGCTGTCAATGGAGATTTTTCTGTATCACTGTTTCTCACAGCTGCTTCTAAGACCTACCTGCATCAGAGTCACTTACACTGTTCCTTATATAGATTCTAATGCCTTCTCCCCTAGACTGTATCCTTTATTCCATATTTTTCACTTTGTTCATTTTTTTTTTTTGCCATACTGTTCTCAGTCCTGTCATTACCTTTGAAATCTTCCTTGTTGTTGAAAGCTATCTGGGATTTAGTTGATAGGAATGGTAGTTTCAGTATAGTTTTTAGGAACATAAGCTCTGGTTATATGCTACCTCATTTGGAATCCTGGCTCTCTTTTCCATGATTACAAAGCTAGTTAATTAAATATATTTCTATATATTTCTGTGCCTCAGTGCTCCTTTGCATTAAATGGGATGTCAGTTTATTTCATAGGGCTGTTATGTATTAAATTAATTAATATTTGTAAATTCCTCAGAACAGTGCTTGTACATAGAAAGCACAGTTAGCTGTTACTGTGATTTCTCTCACGTTTTAGCCCTTTTTATAAAGTTTTCTACCTTAGAAACTTATATTCTTTCCCTACTTCTTCCTATCAGAATGCAAGTTCATTGAAGGTAGGGCCTACCTTATTTATTTTTTTAATTTTCAGTGGATTTTGTATAATAAATAAAGGATATTCAGTAAATATGCACTTTATTGAATCATAGGAATATAGCAGTTCCTCAGTAAAATTGTTTTTAGAACTTATATACCTGATATAAATTATACTTGAAGTAATTTAATGCTCTTTGTTATATTTCAGGAATTCTAATGAATCATTGATTGACCAGCACCATATTGCCAGTTGGAATGAGTTATCAGAAATGGGCATATTGCTTTTAGATCCAACATGTAACAGATGGATGTTACTCCATACTGATTACTTCTTCCAGCCAACACCTTTTTGACTGTATAAGATCCTTGTCTCTACATCTTTGAATTCCGATCACTGGCAAATAAAATAAAGGAGTTCATGTAGTTTTTCTCCACTCTTGAATCACCATGAGTAGTAGTTTAGGAAAAGAAAAAGACTCTAAAGACAAAGATCCCAAAGTACCATCAGCTAAGGAAAGAGAAAAGGAGGCAAAAGCCTCTGGAGGTTTTGGGAAAGAGAGCAAAGAAAAAGAACCTAAGACCAAAGGGAAAGATGCCAAAGAAGGAAAGAAGGACTCCAGTGCTGCCCAACCAGGGGTGGCCTTTTCAGTTGACAATACGATCAAACGGCCAAACCCAGCACCTGGGACTAGAAAAAAATCTAGTAATGCAGAGGTGATTAAAGAGCTCAACAAATGTCGGGAAGAGAATTCAATGCGTTTGGACTTATCCAAGAGGTCTATACATATATTGCCATCATCAATCAAAGAATTGACTCAATTAACAGAACTTTATTTATACAGTAACAAATTACAGTCCCTCCCAGCGGAGGTAGGCTGTCTAGTAAATCTCATGACACTGGCTCTAAGTGAAAATTCTCTTACCAGCCTGCCTGACTCTCTTGATAACTTGAAGAAGCTGCGAATGCTTGATTTACGACATAACAAACTAAGAGAAATTCCTTCAGTGGTGTATAGGTTGGATTCTCTCACCACTCTATATCTTCGCTTTAATCGTATAACTACTGTGGAAAAGGACATCAAAAACCTGTCAAAACTAAGCATGCTTAGTATTCGAGAGAACAAAATCAAACAACTACCTGCTGAAATTGGTAAGACACTTTATTATTATTTATAATATTTTTATGCTAAATAGTCTTTTCCACATCAGGAAGTGCTTGATATTTGCCTAAAAATAGCTTGGTAAAAATTTCATCTTATTTATGGTTTACTTTAATTATCCCATTTTTAGTGATATTAAGTGCATGTTGAAATTATTTTATAAATGTAAGAAAATTAGTTAGAAGATAGAAATTAGAAATTAGAAGATGCATGTAATCAGGCCTTTTTTTTATACAAACTCAATGTGCCTTGTTTTTCATTGGAGAAAAAGTGAATGTGAAAAATAAAACTCCCTTTATAAAGTATTTCCTTGTATAATTACTAGCTTTATTAAGGCTGTGTTTTTCCATTCTCTGATTTTCCCTTTTTCTTCTAAACCATGTTTGCTTAAATTTACATCACTGTAAAAATGATATCACAAGAAAATTGAAAAAATCTGTTTCCTTTTGAAAGTACTTACATATTCATTAAAAATAATCCAAGGATACAGAAAGGTAGAAGAAAAATAAATCTGGAACATTTGATTCCAGTCTTGAATACAAATACAAAGCTAAATTGTACTAAAAGACAGTGTGTTTAAAAGGATGGTAGAAGAGGAAAAAGGTAAAGCAATATAGGCATGTAAACAAGGCAGTAAAAGAAAGTTACCTTGATATCTAATTAGATGAAAAATTTCTGAACCATTTGGAGGAGAATCCATTGACATCAATTCTGAGAAATTGATCAAGGTGTTATCTTTATTGATTTCTAAAAAAACAAATTGTGAAACTTTTAAAGAAAAGTTTTATTTTTGTATTAAAGGTGATTTTTTTTTTTTAATAAAACAATCATGTATTGTTGCTTTAAACAGTGTACTCACTGTTGGGTCATAAAGGAAACTTTATGATTTTAGACTCTGTAGCTTTTCAGGGATATAATACCCTGTAGGTATTTACATTTTATTTCGCTTTGACAAATGTGCAGCTTAAATTTTAATTATGATGTGGTTACATTTAAGTCTAACTACACATTTATAATATTAATTTTAGTTTAAATATACAGATAATCTGTGATAGTTTTTCTTAAGTAATGTACTGTACTTGAAAGTATGATGCATGATATCTTAAAATAGCCCCATGAAATAGCTTTAGTACCAGATGCAGTCAAAATTTGACCTATATGTATGGCTCATTGTGATTGAAAGGAATGCTGAATTTCTATAGAAAAAAAAATATTGGGGCGGGTGCCATGTGGTAGTTGGTTAAGCCACCGCCTTTGATGCTGGCATCCCATATGGGTGCTGGTCCAAGTCCTGGCTACTCCACTTCTGATCCAGCTCCTTGTTAATGTGTCTGGGACAGCAGCAAGGGATGGCCCAAGTGGTTGGGCCCCTGCACCCACATGGGAATCTTTGATAGAATCTAGGCTCCTGGTTTTGGCCTGTCTGAGCCCTGGCCGTCATGGCCATTTGGGCAGCAAACCAGCAGATGGAATGTCTCTTTCTGTAACTGTCTTTCAAATAAATAAATAAAATCTTAAAAAAATAAAGAAATGCAACATATTATGTCCTGTCTTTGTTCTTGTTGTTTTGTGTATGTGCTCGGTCCTAAAAGTTTGGCTTTGTCTCTCAAAGTTTTGTTTCCATAGTGACATATTCAGATTACCTGGGATTGTACATATATTTATTAAATAATTATTTCACCAGATTTTAAACTTAACATCAGTTTGTCCTTGAACATGGAAGTATAGCATTTTTACTACGAAGTGAATGTATCTCAAAATTGGCATTACTTTATATAGTTCAATGGTTTATATTTGAGGCTGCCTAATCTTTTGATCTTTAGTCCTAAGACTACAATTTGAAAACAATCATTGAGCCCCCCTCTCTATTAGTAACGTTGCTAAAATTTGAGTTCTTGTAATTGTTTTAAAGAATTATTTTATTTTATTTTATTTGAAAGAAGGAGAGACAGAGAGAGAGCTCTTCCAGCTAGCCAGGTCCAGGCCAGGCAGTAGTCCGGAGCTAGGAGCTCATTCCAGGTCTTTCACACAGGTGGCAGGGACACAACCAGTTGAGTCTTTATCTACTGTCTGCCAGGGTGCACAGTAGCAGGAACTGGAATTGTAAGCAGAGCTGGAACTTGAATCCAGGTGTTCTGATATGGGATGTGATATGCCAAGCTGCATCTTTACTATGCCGATGCCTGCCTTTATGTCTTTTTTTTTTTTTTTTAATAGCCACTCTGTGGGTGTGAATTGGCATCCCATTGTGGTTTTGGTATGTAATTCTCTGAATGCTGTAGGTATGTTTTTAATTCTTGAGAGCTTGCTTTTATAAAGAAAAACACTTATTTTCTGTAATAGAGATCTTGATTTGGTTATTTTTAAAAAATAATTTTATTGGGTCTGGCACTATGGCATAGCAGGTAAAGCTGCCACCTGCAGTGCCGGCATCCCATATAGGCACTGGTTTAAGTCCTGGATGCTCCACTTCTGATCTAGTTCTCTGGTTTGGCTTGGAAAAGCAGTGGAGAATGGCCCAAGTCCTTGGGCTCCTGCACCCACATGGGAGACCCTGAAGAAGCTCCTCGCTCCTGGTTTCAGATCAGCACAGTTCTGACCATTGTGGCCAACTGGGGAGTGAACCAGCAGATGGAAGACTTCCTCCTGCCCCCACACCCCCCCCACGCCTCTCCTTCTCTCTCTGTAACTCTGACTTTCAAGTATGTAAATAAATCTTTAGAAAAAAAATAAAAAAGGATTTATTTATTTGAAAGGCAGAGTTACAGAAATGGAGGAGAGAGACAGATCTTCTGTCCATTAGTTGACTCTGCAGAGTCAGTCCATGGGTGGGCCAGGCAGAAACCAGGAGCCTGAACTCCATCCCGGGCTTTTATGGGTGACAGGGGCCCAAGCACTTGGGCTTCTTCCACTACTTTCCCAGGTACATTAGAAAAGAGCTAGATCAAGGCCGGCGCCATGGCTCACTAGGCTAATCCTCCGCCTTGCGGCGCCAGCACACCGGGTTCTAGTCCCGGTCGGGGCACCGGATTCTTTCCCGGTTGCCCCTCTTCCAGGCCAGCCCTCTGCTGTGGCCAGGGAGTGCAGTGCAGGATGGCCCAAGTGCTTGGGCCCTGCACCCCATGGGAGACCAGGATAAGTACCTGGCTCCTGTATCGGATCTTCGCAGCGCGCCAGCCACGGCGGCCATTGGAGGGTGAACCAACAGCAAAGGAAGACCTTTCTCTCTGTCTCTCTCTCAGTGTCCACTCTGCCTATCAAGAAAAAAAAAAAAAAGAGCTAGATCAGAAATAAAACAGTCAGAACTCCAACTGGTACTCACATGGGGTGCCGGCATCTTAGGAAGCTGCTTAAGATGCTCTGATATAATGCTAGACCCACTTTGGTTATTTTAATTAGACAGTTATGAATCCTTTTGAGAATGTTTGCAAAATAAGACCCATGTACAGTAAGCAAATGAAGTGGAAATTTGGCATGTTTTAAAGTTTTGTATGACTTTTACGTAATTAGATTTAACTGCTAAAACCTGTAGCAAGGGAGTTTTCATTTAATATATATGCTAATTATAATTTAAAATATATGATAATATAGATAATCCTCCATTTATGCATATTAGAGCTGTACTATTAGATATATTAGATTTATATTACGAATATTAGATGATATTCTTCTGTACACCACTTTCATTCATTCCATCTCTTTTGTATTCAGTATATTTGAGAAAAATATGAGAAAATAGAAGTCCTTGAAATAAAGCCTATTTAGCTTAAGTAGTATAATTGGAATTTAGATATTATACAAGGATGTACTGTTATTTCCTTGACAAATAAATATATTAAAATTAGAATATTTGCTTTAGCACTAGTGGTATTTTTATTAATGTATAATTTGATACCAGTGATACGTGATCACATGGGTGAAGACCACCAGAAAACAGTAAAAATATAGTAGGCAGACAGTTCAGTGCCAGAGGTAATATATAAGAAAATTTCATTTGACAGTGTTCATTTACTTTTCTCCTTTTGTGTAATGAGGCACAAAGTAAACATCCTATTGTTTTGTGTTAAGTAGATAGAATGAAACCTTGTTCATTAGTTTAACAGACCAGTTATCCATTCCTTCTGCCCTTCCTTTTTTCATTTAAAATATTGAAGCAGACTCATCGCTCTATCATCAAGATAGTCAAGAAGTCATATTTCCAGAAGAAAAAATAAGAATTAGTCATGTTTTTTTCTTTTCTCACTGATTGGTTCTTATGAGTTTTCCATTGAATTGTGCTTTTGTATATTTTTTACCCCTGTTGGATTGCAATGGAAACCATCAGATAGTCAGTTTGAATAATTAAAAATTTAGTTAAGGAAACTCTGGGTAATCAAGTTTGAAAAGGATTTTATTTTTCTGAGGAGGTAATGATTATTCTTTGAAACCAAAGTCCATGTTTGTCCTTTACTGATATTCCTGTGATTTCCTTTTCTTCACTGAATAATGGTCTGGTTTAGGATTTTTCTTTAAAAGGTCCCCCTTATTTTATTATTCTTTTAGAAACAGCTAATATAGAGGGAATATTTTTAAAAATGTAGTTTTATGCATGTCTGTGCTCAGTAAACTGATACTTTTAATATGGTTTATACAACTGTATGAAGATCTAATTGTCAAAATAACCCTTTTTGCTTTAGAGAATCATCTAGTATGTTAAAATGTATGCTCTTCGAGAACCCAGATCATTTTTCTTCATTTTAAGGCAGTTCTCACATCATTCAGAAATGGGCCAATTTGATTTAGTAACTTTCATTGCAAAAAAGTTTCATATTCTACAGTATAACAGTGTTATATTTTATAAGGCAAATGATGTATGTTAATATGTAATAAAGGTATTTGTGATTACTATATATAAAAACAACATAATCAGCAGTTTTCTAAAAAAGCCGAATGACCTTAAAGATTTTCTTTTGTTATTTTATATTTGGTATTATAGTATTATAAGACTGTA